AACGATATATTTGAGACTAATATTTCATTTTACTAAAATTATATAAAAAATTTACCAATGTAAAACCTTATGTGTAAAGAGTATGGGGAAAGTGGGGCAGTTTGGCCACCTTAAGAAAATCATCACTAATCATACAAAACTCAGTGGAAAATTTGAATGATGTTTAACCAAATGAATAGTTTCAAGCCCTCAACTGTTTAATATTATGCAAGAAGTTCTAAAAAAATGTTCGTTTTGTAACCGAAATTTGATCGTTTGATCGTTTGATTTGGGATCTTACTTATGTTTTGGAAACTATGTTTCACCTAAATATTCAAGAAATTTCGTTGACAACGATCAAGGTTATTCATTAAGCTTGAAGAAGGTCTGAGATCTTGTTCGAATTGAGAGAACTTGAAAAATATCAATTATGAAACTTGAAAGAAGCTCATGGAACTTCGCAGAAGTTGAGAACATTTTGCAGAAGCAAAGATAAAGGATAAAGATTTAGATGTTCAAGGAACATTGGAGCAATTTTACTGCCCCTCAGAAATGTTTTGATGGCAAACGTCATCTTTGCCACCTGCTAAAAACAGTATTGCTCGTGACCTTTTGCGTGAGAGGAATGGATGCTAACCACTATGCCGGACCCGTCTATGCTTTCAAAGTTTTCTAAGGTTTGAATATTCTTAGTCAGCGATTTTGAAATACGTCCAAGTCTGAGATCTAAAGTCTAAATCCTTGAATCCTGAATGTTTTCCAAAATTCCAAAATCATTAAGATTACTTCTATTCCTAGATTTGACAACTGTTCAATGCCTGTGATAATATTTTTTAACTTGGAACATTAACATTAACATAAGCTTTAAATTATTCCTAGCCCGAGAGTTTTTTTTTCATTTTTGATGTATGAGGGGTATTGATAAATTATTCCATTTCAGGATCTTGAATTTATGTTTCAAATGGTCTTAACCGTATTTGCAATGTGTTCAAACATTCTCATAAACCGGTTTATAACGTATCAAACATTGAGCATCTCATAATTATTATTTTTTAAATAACTCTAAATCGAAAATCAAGCTTCCCGATGCCTGCATTAAATGTTCGACTAGAAGCTAATTTAATGGAAGAAGTAGATGCCATTTAAAAAAAACTTCTGACTGTCAAATTGCTTTGCTCTTCTTCAGTTGAATCCCGCCAAAATCTCTGAGCCAGAAATGCTCGAGCCCCCATGACTCTATCAAATTTTGATTACATTCGTATTTCACCGGAGTATATTTTATTGGAAATATAACCCAGCTGCACACTAATCCAGGCCTCTGCCGTTCGGTAAATTTTGAACTAAAGAATTGTTAAGTAAAAGTTAAAAAATCAGTGAAAACTCCAATGATTAGTAAATTTATTCCAAACTTGAACAGAATTTGTTCAGTTTACCTGATTTATTTCGAAAATTAAAATTTGTAAATTTTATTGATTTCTCACACCTAACGGTTATTTGAAAATGTTATCAACTTTAACCAACTTGTGCTTTCTAAATATAATAATGTATTCCAATATAACACCAAAACACTAGCCGAGATTTGTCCCTTTAAATTCGCAGCCACGAGTTTTCCCACCTTCCTCATCCCCACGCTGCTTTTGCCCACAAACTGTGAACTAATATGACCTGGGAGCATGGCCTGAATAAGCTCTTGCTCAGCATTCAATGTTTGTTGGGACATTATCCCGAATGCCGTTGCTTTTTCCCAATATGCAATTACCCCGAATGAGATTTTGCATTCTTTTGAATGCATCTTGTTCTTTTCACATTTGGGGTGATGGCGTTCAAGGAACTGACATTCGGTCGAACGGTATTCAGTGTAAAGAAGCACACTCCTCCAAGTGCCCCTGCAATAGTAATTAGAATGCGAAATTAAGCATTTTAATACTACACGAGAAAGGCCCTTGATTGATCAGGATTTTGTCCGATCAGGATGATATTCAATGGAGATAAATACAATCAATATGGAACTGGTTGCACTGAAATCGATTCTGCCATCACCGAAGAAAGTGAATGAGAAACAATATTTTACTTTCATAATTCCACGTTTTTAGTCGTATCTCCGGAACCAGACATCCGATCGGGTAAACTTTCGATAAAGTTCTACCTTTGCAACTGCATTTATTTATTTGTCGTCAACCAGTGTAGATCGTTTTACAATTGTTGTCTTAAGTGCTATTTTTACAATTTTGTCTTTGTTTATATTTTTTATAATATGTCTTGAGAACAAGTTTAAAAAAATACTTCTAGCTGACGTTATGCGAGGAATTAAAATATTGCTTTAATTTGGTTTTTGTCATTGTAAAGTCAATGTTATCGTAGTGCTTATTATATGTATCCATCATTTGGTTCAATGGTCCAAATTTGGCGATGTGATACGATATCGTTTACGAATGAAATCATAGCAAATTCACGACGCTCTTTTAATGTTTGGATATTTATGAGCATACACCGAACTGTGTAAATAAGATGGCAGAGGAAATACAGTCCAACCTAACATGCAGAGTGCATACAATAGAAACTGCTTTTGAACGGACTCTATTCTTTCTTTGTGTGTGATTGAAAAAGGAGACCAAACTATGCTGCAATATTCTAATATCGACCTTACATAAGCAATGTACAATGTTTTTATCGTATAAGGATCGTGAAAGTTATAACAGAAACGTTTTATGAAACCAAGCATGTTGTTAGCTCTATTAATAATTATGTTATAATGATCTGTGAAAGTAAGTTTTGAGGCCAAAATAACACCTAGATCCCTGACTTCATCCCACTTTTCTACGTTCTGTTTTCCTAAAGTGATTGTTATGTCAGGTAGTATTCGTTTTCTACTAATGGTAATTGAGTTACATTTTTTATATTTAATTGTAGCAGGCTTTTATGACACCAATTATTGAATATCTGTATTTCCTCTTTGAATTTGATGATGTCTTTGGCATCTTTTATTTCAAAAAAAAAGTTTAATGTCGTCAGCATAGATTAAAACTCTCAATTTCTTAATTATGAAAGATATGTCATTGACGAAGAGAATAAATAAAAGCGGACCTAAATGGGAGCCTTGAGGAACTCCTGAAGTGACATCAACGGGATTTGATGTCTTTCCTTTGTAGTTTACTATTTGATGGTGGTCAGTTAAATATGATTCAAGCCACTTGAGGAGTGCGTAATGAATTCCCATTTTTTGAAGTTTAAAAAGAAACATGGGTATGTCAATTCGATCAAACGCTTTGCTGAAATCTGTATACAACACTACATGGTTTCCGTTTTCGAGCAAATTCGTAGTTGTTGAACGGCCTTTAAAGAAGCCATGTTGCATAGTAGTTATTCTGTTTTTAATTTGAAGAAAGAGTTTTTCATTTATAATCGCCTCGTAAAGTTTCGGAATGCAAGAGATAAAAGCTATACCACGAGTTTTTCCATATTTTAGGGAAGTTTCCGGATTCCAGTGACATATTGAAAATCCAAAATAATGGCGCAGTAAGTTCAGTAGCTAAAGTTTTCATAAAAACTGGCAGAACACCGTCAGGGCCAGGACCTTTAGATGCATATAAATTGTTTAAACCCTTTAAGATATCATGAAGCTTGATTTGACTTACGCTGATGTCACTTGAAAACTCTGAATAAGAACCAAAATATTCACGGTCACGGTCCTCTTCTGAAAGCCTAGTATAGATTTATTGGAAGGAATTTGCAAACAAATTGCATCTATCATCCGACTTCTCACCTACCTTATCGTCAAAATGCATCTTTGATGGAAAATTATCAGATTTTAATTTGGTTTCACATAATTGAAAAAGTTTCTAGGACAAGATTTTATTTCAAGTTCAGTTTTTTTAAATTATACTCCTCAAATGCCATATTCAAGGCCAAATTTAACTGATCGCAAATGTCTAAATAGTATGCCAAAGTTTCTTCATTATTATATTTTTTATAAAATTTATGCGCTTTTTGCTTTTGATTTTTTTTTTAATTTTTCAGTTCCCTGTTGTACCAAACCGGATGTTTTGCATGACTCTGACGTCTTCTTCTTTTAGTGGGCACTTTTTCAAGTATTATTTCAAACAACACATTCTAGAATACGGCAACTGCACATTCAACATTTCCTGAAGTTCTTAATATTGCTTGCCAATCGACAATGTTCAATCTATTTCTAATGTTATCATACTTTGCTGAATAGTAATCAAAGATTTCATCAAATTCGCAGTCGTTGGTTCTTTCATTTATGTGAACGAATAAAGAATATTCTATTGCTGTGTGAAACATTTCATTTCTACATATGGGACTTAATGATTCAGTAACACAGAAATCTTCATAAGTATGTAGTATTTAAGTAACCCTGTGTTCAATTTCCATCCGGTTTACGGTACTTTAAAGGAAAATATTAATACCACTTTGAGTATTCTTGTTCACCTCTAAAAAAGGTGTTATCAAACTGTTTGACTCGCCATGACAGTTTGTGACAGTTGTTCTTTCTGACGTGTATATTTTTCGTCCCAGGTGATAACCATATTACCTTGTCCTCGTTCATAATCATATGTCGACCATATATAATTGGAAAGTGACAATAATCAAGAGTAATACTGTCAACCCTACACAAAGCTTTCCTTGTCCACGTCAGACTGAGCTTCACATTGACATGACCTCATATACATGGCAATTGACCGAAAATAGATTCATATCGTAGGTCATCAGCATACTCAATTATGTACTTTTAGAAATTCAATATCTAACTTCCTTCGCTTTGTAAATGGGCGTTTCATCACGGGTACTTACAACGATGCGTGCAGCTAATTGCAGCTTTTCTAATTGTTTGCCTTTGCACTTCACTCACTTTCCATACTGTACTTTTAAAAAAACATCATTTAGCATGAACATGAAATTCCATCAACCCAACGCCAAACGGTTAGATAGCTTGAGAAAAATTTTTCAAGCTCATGTACGGTTGTTCTCCCATTTCCTACTGCCCGCTTACCACGCCGCAGGGAAGCTCTCAGGATGTCAACACTAAAAAAAAGCCGCTCTTTATCACGACTGTGCCCAAGGGCGTGTTCCTTCAACCGAGTAAAGAACTTCCTATAATCATTCCATCGGCGACCTCCCTTCGTCGCCTGTATGCCTACGAGAGCCGTCCAAGGATTCTTCTGACCGCTAACAGTATCAACAATAACAATAACGATATCAATCATCCTAACCACAACCACCACCAGCAGCAGCATTTGTGCAAGCATGGCAGCCATCATCATAAAATCACCATTACTCAATCCGAGTCGGAGCCGAACGTGGCAAAGGCAACCGCATTCGCCACCAGCGCCATCCCGAGGCACAACTTCAACAATCGGAACGCGAGGTAAAGTGCAATTTGTGATTTGGGGGAGTTAAACTAAACGAGAAACAGCTTTCACGGTGATACAAGTGATTCCGATTTTCTAGCTAAGTGTTAACTTTAAACTTGAACGACGCAACGTGAGTAGCTTCGCAAGTGAAAAGTATATGTATATAGCTACTCGTACCAAGCAAATGTACCATGCGTCTCCTTCTTTGAACACTTTTCCATGCATAGGAAAGCAGTTGTCTATGAATTGAACGTGTTCCTCAATATGGGAGATTTGGATAAAAATGAGAATTTTATGTATTTTATTCATTGTATTATTTCCAAAGAAAATTTTCAAACAATAAATAAAAAATAAATAGAAAATTAGAAAATCTGAAACCATTAATTGACTTGCAATTAAGGAGAAAATTGGTTCCTTTAAAAAAACACTCAGTGCTCATTTAACCAGAGAAATGTATTCAAAAAAATTTTTATTGCACACCTTTCTGAACGTGTTGCTCTAGGAGAACACACATGATTGAATCACAAATGTGGTCATGTGCAGCCAATTTGACCTAGACGTGCAAGGTTGTTTAAAGTAACGTTTGCATTAAACATTATGCAAATTTTTATCGTTGAATACGTTCTCGTGCAGCTTAAAACATCAGGCTGAACACGAATCGGTTGACTGTTTTTGAGGACAGACTAAAACCTATATGTTTTCATCATGCATTGTAGCAAGAACATATTGAATTACCGAACTAATAAAAGGATCATTGTAAATATAATTACGTAGACATAAATCTCAAATTATGTACGTGCTCTATTCGACTTAACCTCACACCACATGTCTTCAGAAAATCAATATTTTATCAATCCCTCACATTTATTTCATGTTTTCTCTATATATAACACATTAATGATTCAGGCCCAATTCAGCGGTAGATTGCCGCCGTTATCAATCAGGTTTCAATAGCAGGTGACCTGTATTATTTTACTCGTTCCCATTATTCTGTTCCCCTTTTATCCTTTTGCGGCTCTACGTGTTTGCCACAGCACCTAGGTGTAATCATGGTGAGGATCATGGCGCAAAAAAGCATAGAGCATGAAAACTTATTTTGCCGTATGGTCAGCTTTTATGGATATTATAACCTTCAAACCTTTCAGTAAAAGCAGTATTATTATTATTATGTTGATATTAATCTTGAAACAATCGGATCGATGCATTGCACAGTGCTCTTGGAAGTGATTTCAACTAAACAACACTGATTTACTTTTGAATTAGCAATTAGCGTTAGTGCCGCTGGATTTGAAAATCTTTATATTAGTCGTACATCAGCTCTATAAAGCCAAAAGACGATTTCAAATTAATGTGTAGGGGAAATGGCTCTAATGTTGGCCTATGGATCTAAGATTAAGCCCATCGCTAAAAATCTGCTATTTATCAATTTTATCTAGATGAACATATATTTCCGGGACGGTAGTAATGGATATTTTTGGTCGCTATTGAAAATTTAGTCGAATGCTGAATTTACGTATGGGCCCAAATTAGGGGCATTTAGCTCGACATTACGTCCATTTCCCCTACATAAACCGATGGAAAAACTCAACCGACGCAGACATCAAAAGCCAATTTCGAGTTTTTGAATATGCATATACTATTTACCTGCATGAATAAATGAAATGAAGAATACTAAAAACCAAAAGCTTTGTTATCCTTGGAAATGGAATTAACAGCATGGCTTCCGCTACAAACCTTTCTCTCTCTCTCTCTTTCTCTATTTTGATTTTATTACGTCTTCTGCATCGCGTCTGGCACTGAACTTAATGATCTTTGAGCACATCCACAGTTGTTAATTGAAAGCTTTCTAAACCTGTACCATTTTTGCATTTAGTACTAGTGTGTAGCAAATACTATCATACTCTATTCCAAGGGAAGTCTAGGAATTTTGCAACCCGAAAATTGCTACACCGGACCGGGATTCGAACCCAGCCACCGTGGTCTTTGCAAATTCATAGATAAAAATTTGAGTGGATCTTAGAATTCCATAACAATTGGTAATTTTGTTCCTTCACAAACCCTTATTTTCTATTTCGCCATTCGGGTGGGCCATTCCGATTTAGTGTGGTCCCAAAGATCAGCATTTTGCCTAATTTTAATTTTTTTTTTTCAATCAATCAATCAATCAATCCCGTAGAGTTCTCGTGGTCCGTGGTAGCAAAGGCAGTTTATTAGTATGAGCTCGTCCATCATTGTTGCTCTGCAGGTTTCGCATCTTTGGCGGAAGTTTCCGCCACTGCTGCTCCCCATGTTGTGGGTCATGCAGGTGTGGCCGGTTCTTAACCGTGACAGGAATCTCTGGTCGTTAAACCTTGGAACATCCGTCCAGGGAAGGGTTACCCCTTTGGTCTTCCGGATGAAGTCTCTCCTGGCGAACCATTCGCGGTCCCAGGCCGTCCTGAGGGTTGACTTGATCCAAATTGTCAGGTCCTGTCTGGGGACCGAAGTGTTGGCGAGTCGGCCACTTCGTCCAATGGCTGCGAGGTGGTCTGCTTCTATGTTTCCGGCAATTCCGCAGTGCCTCGGTTTCCACATGAAAGTGGAGCTAGGGGGTGTTGTTTTGTATGGCCTAAATCCAGGGGTGGCGGGCGGTGGCGGATTCCAGTGCCGCGATGGCGCTAGCAAAGTCGGTTAGTATACATACCGGAGGGAGGATGGTAGGGAAGCTGCGTAATGAAGGGCTGCAGTCTCGGCCGAGAAGACCGAGCATTGATCGGGGAGTCTCCAGAAGTGTGAGGCCAGAATGTTGATCTCCTTAGGGAGCCCCACAAAAATTCCTTTCATTGCCACCAGGAAGATGGTCTCTGCAATTACGGAACCCTGGGGAACCCCGGTCTCTTCCCGTCCGGTGCTGGAGCGGTGGTTCCCGACGGTCACCTACAAGGTTCTGCCCTGCAGGAAATTCTTCAAAAAGTAGAGGATATTTCCTCCGAGGCCCCATCTGGCTAGCAGCTGTAGTACTTGGGGTGGCCAGGCTCTGTTGTACGCTTTGGCCTGATCCAGGGAGGCCACCTTTACGTGCTGGTCCTTACGGAGTGCCTCATGTACTATTTGTCCAAGGCTGTTAAAGTATGTACCAGTTCCGTGGCCAGGACGGAAGACATGCTGTCGGTGGTCTAGTAGGTTGTTCCCCTCAAGGAATCTCGCTTATCTCCGGTTGACCAGACGCTCCATTATTTTGCTGCAGCAGCTGGTCAAGGAAATCGGCCGGAAATCCTTCGGTGATAGTGCTGGACCAAGGTTTTTCGGGATGGAGACGATAAGGCTATGTTTCCAGGAGTCAGGCAGCCGACGACCCGTCCATGGGAGGTTCCGCAGCATCGGGTATCCAACCTCATCCGGTCCGGAGGAGTTGCCTTTGGCGTTTCTGAGGGCAAAGTTTAATTTATCCATGGTGAAGGGCCTGTTAATTGTGAGTGTATCTTTGTCATCGGGTATGGTCACGTTCTCGATGCTGGAGGTGGAGACGCCGATACGGTTCCTGAAATCATCGTTGTAGACCTCAATACAGGACAGTGACTCAAAGTAGTCGCCGAGGAGGTTCGCAATTGTCTCTGGGTCTCGGGAGAGTCCATCTGGGCCGCGGAGGGCAAAGCCTCGGATAGCGCCAGATTTCCTCTGCCAGATTTCGGTGCATGACTGATTTGGGTTAATTTCGTCCAGGAAGCTTTTCCAGCTCGCTTCCTTTGCTTCACGGATGGTTGGACGGTATTGGTTTCTGGCAGCTCGGTAGGCTTCATGGGCTCCCTCCTTTTCGGAATGTCCGTGCGGTAGGCGTTTGGCCGTGCGAAGGGCCTTGCGCCTGGCTTTAATTGCCGTTTTTGTCTCAGGCGACCACCAATGCAAGGGTCTAAGCCTGGGATTTGACCTGGATTTGTGAATGGCCAGATTCGCTGCTCTAATAATATTTTATGTGGATTCGTCCAGGCTATGCGGGGGGTTCTCTTGGCAAATGTTTCTGATGGATTCGTCGTAGCGCTCCCAGTCGGCACGACCGTATAGCCTTCTCGGGCGACGGGAGGTTTCCGGAGGGCTATCGTTCACCGTGATGATGGTAGTTTTGTTCCTTATTGCAAAATATTAGACCCGTATATTTTTATGTTGTCATTAGGGTGACCATTTCCATGTTAATACTCCGAATACGGTGGGTAAACAACATTACGCCGACTACGAAGCCTCCGAAAGCGTGTAACGGCAAGTTTGCAATAACATAACTTAGCCATTTCTTGATGAATTTAAAAAATTGCGGTGCCTCTAGAACTCCTAGGGTCTGTAAATTATTTTGATCGTAAAAAGATTGAGAATAGGGTCGTCTACTTTTTTTTTAAAGCGAAAAGAGACGTTACACGTTTTTTAAAAAAAAGGTGTGTTTATGGGTTCTGCTAGTGGCTTAAGATCTACAATTTAGATTTATGGGCACAAATGTTCATAATTAGCCAGTCATGGTTTATATATATATGGATGTAGTCATGGTTTATATATATATATGGATCATGGAGACAACGGAACGGTCTTTGAAAGATCCGGAACATCCGTAAAAGTGGTCAATTCACGAACGCTCCGTGTTTTTTTTTTCGAAAACATTAGGAATTGTGATATGAGAAATAATTTGGGGTCGTGACATAAACATGGACCTGGATGGCCATGGTACCGTCCTCAGGAAAATCCGGAACATTCGTAAAAGTGGTCAATTATGAAACTGATCCTAGAGCTCCGTGGTTTTTTTTTTTAACATTAGGAACTGTGGTATAAGATAGAATTTGGGGTCGTGCCATAAACGTGAAACCATGGCCATCGAACCATCCTCCGGAAGATCCGGAACCTCCACAAAATTGGTCAATCTATGAAACTAATCCTGATCCAAGAACTATGATATAAGAAAGAATTTGGGGTCGTGACATAAACAATGACCCGAATGATCTTGGGACCGTTCTCTGGAAGATCCATAAAAGTGGTCCATCCATAAAGCTGATCC